TCTCTCTCTCTCTCTCTCTCTCTCTCTCTCTCTCTCTCTCTCTGCTTCCTGACTGCAGATGTCATGTGACCAGCTGCCTTGCGTCCCTCTGAAAGGACGGATTCTGAAACTTTAAGTAAGATAAGTCCTTCCTTAAGCTGCTTTGTTTGTTTGTTTGTTTTGTTTTGTTTTTGGTTGGGGACTTGGTCTCAGTAACTAGAAAAGTAACTAATCCATGCCCATCTCACGCCCCCCAAGCACCTGCAGGGTCACAAAGGAGCTGCTGGGGAAGATGCCCTGCAGAATGCCCCCAGAAACCCCTGAGCCTAGGGACAGGGACTGGCTCCAGAGGAAGCGATGCTTTTGCCCCTGATGAGAAGCAGGTGTGATAAATCATATGCAGACCACTGAAATTACCCTAGATTTCCACATGACTTACAGCAAAACCACATTGTCCAAAAGCGCTCGAGCTTGCCCCGCACTAAAAAAGACCTCCAAGCCGCGCACAAATAACGTAGGGTTCTCACGACAGAAGGGCAGAGGCTAGGAAGCTTGCCTAACCTATTTAAGAAAATGAGCCTGGAGTCCTTTCTCAACCATTGGGAAACTGTGAAAGCTAATTACCCATGACTACTATATTAAGTAAACTAGACAGCCCAGTTCACAGGAATGCTGGAATTCTAGCTGATACTTAATATAATTAGATTGCAGCTTAGATTATTTTTAGTTCCACAAATTAGCCTCTTAAATTATCTTATATGGATTTTATATTCCTAAAATAACTGTTGCTAAATATTCATTTGTTTGTTTGTCTATGTACTTATTTATATATTTGTGGAGGCCCAAGGTCAATGTGAAGTGTCTTCTATCCACCTTACTGCTTTTGAGACAAGTTCTCTCACTGTTTCAGCAAGGTTGGCTGACCACTGAGCTCACTCCACCCCCAGAACGAGGTTTGCAGACCCAATCCCCATGCCTGTCTTATACACAGTGCTGGGGATCCGAACTCTGGTCCTCGCGTTTATGCAGCAGGCACTATGTGAACTGAGCCATCTCCCCATCCCCATTCAGGAACTCCTTCAGTCAGCATATAAAGTAACAGGTTACAGTGTGGCACATTTTCAGACACAGCATCATTATTCTTTGTTCTTATTCCCCTCAGGCTGGCCGCCTCCACTCCCCCGTCTTAAAGCACAAATTCCACGAGAAAACTATCCAGTGATGGATACATCCTCTTCAAGAAGGTGAAGGAAAACACTATCAGACATTAAATCACCTTATTATTGAATTCAAATTTTAAAACTTCTAACCAAGATTCATTTGCCTATAAAACGGTGCATTTATTTGGAGTTTTAAAAATGATGGACTTTATCCTATCCCCTGGGACACAGGACAACGGGAAGGCCTGCTGCATGGTTTCCAAGTCATGCTTCTTATATTGGACTTGGAGGAAAGACGTGCAAAGCTCGGGTTCTAGGAGCGAGCTGACCACGTTTCCAGCGCAGGATCAGGTCGCTTAGCAGCAATCTTTTCCTTTCAAAACAGGAAATCACATTCAAGGGCAAAGAAGAAAACATCTTAATGACATGTATCCAAAGTGTCCCCCTTGGCCAATCTACTTAGAAGTTTTTGACCGTTCCCAAACTGATTTCTGTGGGGTTTGGGCCAGCCTTCCCTCCATCCCCGGGGGATAAAAGGATGAATGAAATACGTGTGACATGAAATTGGGAGGGAATATCTGGGGGAAGAAGGTGAATTAGCCAGAGGGAGCAGGGGCTGAGACTGCAGAGAGGGGACAATTAGAGTAAAGGATAATGACACGTGTGCAAGGCAAGGCCAGGATGGCAGGCATCACTTTGGATGCTAACTTTAAAATGCAGTTAAAGAGGCTAGAAAAGAGGAACTCTAGATGAGGGACAATTTACCTGTGGAAAGGGTTCAGGGAAAGGCAGCTTGCTGGAAATCTCCCAAGCACAGGCATGGTTTACACTCAAGCCAGGCTCTGGCCTCCTCCTCAATCCCACAGTCCCTCCAGGAACATGCAGAAGACTGACATGTTAATGACATCACTCTAAGGGACAGGAGAGTCTGGGGCCAGGGACGGGACAGAGCAATGCCTTGGCTAAAACCTGAACTTATCCACTGATGGCCCTGGGACTCTCTCCCCCATTCCCACCACCGGGGGCATGTCGGGAAACCCACCCGGGCAGGGGCTCCACCCCTCGGCACAGAAACCAGACAGCCGCGTGCCCTGCCTTCTCCATAGACTGCCCCTGTGCCCTCATCTCTGGGCTGCCCACAGGGTACAAGGTCAACGTTGTGATATAACAAACAGCGTGCTGGCTTTGCAGACACCACACAGGGCCAACGAAGGCTAGGATTTGACCACTTTTGACCCTTACCTTGTTTAAACTTGAGGCTACGGGATATAAAAGATAACTGTTGGGTTGACTTTGGAGCCTGACAAGAATCCCTTGCTGTTTGGCCGCAAAACACTGCTGGGTTTTAATGAAACCTACTCCAAGCCTTCCCAGCCAGAGCTCAGGGCTCACTCATTCCCCATCTTCTTGATGACAACTGATTCAGGGCTGGCCATGTGACCCATACTGCCTGCATCATGGTGCTGGGGAGGCTCCTTGCCCGCCACCATCTTGAACAGCATGGTGGGATGCTGGCAGTGCTGAGACCCTCTTTCCTTTCTCAGCAGAAAGTCTCACCCAGGAACAAGGGCGGTACTAAGGACAGCAGAGACACAGGTCAAAGGCTTGAGCCAAAATCACCCCTAAATGTGTGGATCCAGAGCCCCTTGAGAGCCCTGAGCTAATCAATCGTTTCTTTCCTTCTTTCTCTCTTTCTCTATTTTTTTCCTCTTGGTTTTCTTGAAGCCAAGTTTCATCCTATAGCTCAGGCTGGCCTAGAACTTATTGTGTAGCTCAGGCTGGACTTAAATTCCTACCAGTCTTCCTGGCCTGGCCTTCCAGATCCTAGGATTCTAGGCATGAGCCATGACACCCAATTCTTCCCCTCCTTCTTAAACACATTTGATTCAGTTCAGATACTTGAACACAGAACCCGGCTAGCTTTATTTCATGCCTGGTCAAATACAGTTTATAATCTGGCATGAAATGATTGGCACATTTTAATAAGGAAACTCATTTCTGAGGACAATTGTGTAGCCAGTCTCGAGCCAAGTTATTGGCCTCTTTCTGTTTTACCATCTTCAGTAAGGAGAACTGTGTTCTGAGTGGCACTTTGTTCCAGAGCTCCAATTAGTCACAAGCTGAAGCCCTTACACCAACTGCTCTTACCTTTAGGGAGGCCGGTGTCTTGAATGGGATACTTGTCTGACTGCAGAAACGGACAAAAGGAGAGAGTTGTTTTTAAATGTCAGTTCTGAGATCAAAGTGAGAAGAGAGCTTTGTGTTGGGTTTCAGTTTAAAACCTTGGGAGCAGGCTGGGGTGTAGCTAGCTCATCGGCAAAGTGCTTGCCTAGCATGCAGAAGGCCCCAGGTTCCATCCCCAGGGTTGGGATATAAAGCAAAATGAAACCTTCCAGGTCTTTAGCCTCAGGCTTATCAGCAGGCCTGACTCACTGCTTTTCTTCTGAGCTGATAGGAACGAAATCAGAGTCGACAGGTTAATGTTGGAACTTGAAACAGAATAACCCCCTCTTAACTTCCTTGGCTCTGACCGCTAAACCACACTTCCTCCCTCTGGGCTGGGCTGTTTTCCCTCTCGACTTCCTGCAGCCTTATGCTCAGATTTTGTCTTTGTGCATTCTGGGAGTGCATGCTTCTTCTCGTCATTTCTGTGACAGTCGTTTGGGTCAACATGTACATGTTCTAGGCAATATTCACTGTTGTAGGACTCTGTCCTGGGCTTGAATCCTGGGACAGGACTCCATGTCAAATATTTTGAATGTTAAAAGAAGGTTAACTAAAAATAGATAAAAGTTAAAAAGTTGACACTCAGCAAAGACCTAGGAACATCTAAGAAGGTCTCTTTGGTATGCATGAAGCAGGAAGAGGACCTAATGCCACTTTGTTGCTATTTCAGAGAAGGTCTCATGTAGCCCAGGCTAGCTTCAAGCTTGCTATATAGTTGAAGATGACTTTAAAGTCCTGATCCTCCTGCCTCTACCTACAGAGTGCTAGGATTACAAGTGTGCACCCCCTTACTCAGTTTATGTGGTACTGGGGATCAAATCCAGGGCTTCATGTATGCTGGGCAGGCACTCTATCCACTGAGCCACATCCCCAGCTCAGGATCTAACACTGTTTTTAGTCTGAGGATTGATGACGCCACAGAGGAGCCCAAGAGAAAGAAGTGTATCTTTGGAAAACCTTGCTTTGGGGTTTCTGGGATTTCCTGGAAATGCTTGGTGACTACAGTGTCATATAAGAAGACCTGGAGAGGCAAAATAAAATGTGCCACCTACCATGGCAAAGGATAAAGTGCTGGGGTCTGTGTCCTCCACTGGCTCCTTGGCCATGTGATCTGGGGAGAGACAAAGAGACAGGGCTGTCTTTGAGACAAAAGCACAAATAAGGCCTCCCCTGTCATCTTCACATCTGAATAGGCTTTCTTTTCCAGGCAATATAAATGGACCTCAACTATTCCTGTGACCCAAAGACCTCTGCAAGTTACTTCAAGGAAGACAGCAAGGGAGAGAAACAGAAAAACAAAACCATGATACTCAGGACTTCAAAACAAACACAAGTTATTTATACATATGTTCAAATACTGGGAGTTATAATCGATCACAAATCATACAAACATATGATCCCCGCAAGTGTGTGCTATGTATTTAGGCCAAGGGACAACCTGAGGTGTTGTCTGCAATAGTCATCTGCCTTCTGTTTATGAGGCGCGTTCTCTCATCAGCCTGGAGCTCACCAAACAGGTGAGGCTGACTGGATAGCAAATCCCAGGGATATGCCTGTCTCTGCCTCCCTGTGCTTAGATGGCAAGTGTGCGCTACCACACCTGGCTTTGTACAGTGGTTTTGGAGAGCCAGTTCAAGTTCCCATGCTTACAAGGCAAGCACTTGCTGACTGAACTATCTCCCAGCTACTAACAACTCTACCTGTTTGATTAGGTATAACTTTATTTAAGGACTTTATTCTGAGTCCTGTATATTTACTTATTTCCTAGTCTCTGTATGTGTGTGTGTGTATACACACACATATATGTATATACGTATACGTATGTATATATGTATATATACATATATATGTATATACACACGTATATATATAACCAAGGCTGGAGAGATGGCTCAGTACTTAGGAGCACTTGGGGCTCTTAGAGTTTGGTTCCCAGCACCCACTTGGAGGTTCACAGCCATCTAAAACCTCCAGTTCCAGGGGATTTGACATCCTCTTCTGACTTAGGCAGGCACCAGGCACACACAGGGTGAACATACATACATGTCTTAAAAACACTCACACACATAAAATAAATCTAAATTTTTTTTAAAAAATCACTTAAAAATAATAAGATTCTTGGACTGGAGAGGTGGCTCAGTAGATCAGTCATTTGTCATGCAGGCATGGGGACCAGCGTTTGGAGTCCCCTCACCCGATAAGCCAATCGGGTGTGACTGCTGGCTAACTAGACTCACTGGAACCGGCAGTCTGCAGGTGCAGCAAGAGACTGCCTGCCAATGAGGAGACGGGAGACCCTCCCTCAGAGAATACTGTTGAAGAACAAAGGAGGACAGCTCTTGGCATCCACCTTGAGCCTCCATATGCATACATGTGCACATGTACCTGTGCTCACACATGAAAAAAAAAACATGGATACACACAAATACCACATACACATGGGAGAAAACAGCTTGCTTCTGAGAGAGGCTAAAATGGCCTAGACGACGCATGCATCAACACCTGCATAAGGATTCTCCTATAACTAAACCAAAAAAATTAGATGAGGAAAAGAACCAACTTTTGATACTGGTGGTGTGTGCCTATGATTCCAACGTTTGAGAACTGAGAAAGGAGGATGTAAGATTGAGGCTAGTCTGGGCTAAATAGTGAAAAATAAAAGTACAAGAAAAGAGAAAAGAAAAGACATAAGAGGGGGCAATGGCTGTGACGGCCGGGAAAGGACCAGTGTCACCACCACAGCAGCAGCAAGCAGCCATGTTAGAGCATCAGTCAGTTGTGGCAAAGGTCTGGGCCCTCATCTGTGTGCCTGCTAAACGTGGGCAAACCTTAAGGTGTGGCCTTGGGGGAGTCTCTAACTGCCCTCGGGTGAGATGCTGCCATTAGAAGGGCTTTCAGATGCTTACGCCTTAGAATGTCCTCTGGGACGTGAGATCAAATCCAGCCCCTCCGTCCCTGGATGCCACATGGCTGCTAATCACTAGCTGTGCTAGCTGTGGAGGTCACCTGGGCAGCTGCTCCTCAGAACCTCACTGCCAGCTGGGATACCAGAAGGCAGGTCCGGAAGAGCTAGGGGGCGGCCGGCAGGGCTTTTGATGGTTTGCTTTCTGAAGCACAACCAGGTTCCAGCAAACTCGGGAAAATCGTGTTGAGAACTGGCCCAAGAGGCGTGCTTAGGTCTTTATTGCTATTATTTTTGTTTTGTTTTTGAGACAGGCCTCCATGGAATCCAAGCCGGCCTTGAACTTTTGCTGTAAGGGAAAATGGCCTTGGACTTCTGATCCCCCCTGCCTCTGCCTCCCCCATGCTGGGATAACACGTGTTTCTGGTTTCTGAGGTGCTGAGGAGGAAACTCGGGGCCTCATGTGTGCCCGGCACTCTCTCCCGGCTGAGCTACACCCTCGCCTCTGCGTGTTGAGTCTGTTTTCACCCTAAACACTTGACTGCCCTGGCCTTTGCTACTCATGAGCTTTAGATTAAGTTCTTACTCGTCTGTCTGTCAAATGCGTTCACAGACCTGGGTCCGTGGCGGTGCCCCACATGCTACCTCTGATCCAGTGCCTTCTCCTGGCAGCTGTTTTAGGTCAGGCCCAGCTGCTTTTGTTCGCACAGGCCCAGAGCTGTGTGTGCCAAGGAGGTTGTAGCGGGGCGGGCTGTTCCTGCTCACCTGAGACAGAGCTAGAAGTAGAAAGTTTTCTACAAGCCTTACCTGGGGGCCTTGAAGTTGAATGTTTACAATACGATTAAGTATAAAATCAAATCATTTATCTAAAGCTTGAAAATGTTTGTTTTTACAAGCCCCAGGTATCAGCAGGTTGAGCCCACAGGCAAAGTTCCAGTGCCAGGTGGGATGCAGGGCAGCAAGGGGCCTGAAACAGAAACAGGAGGGGCATGTGAGCCCCAAAGAGGGCAGAGCCAGCAGCTCTTATCTGGGGTGATGGGGACATTCCCCTGCCCCCAGCGGTCGCCCACCGTTGGACCAAGTTTCCCTCCCGAGAGCTGCCTCCACCGCCCCAAACGGGTTCAGCTCACCGTACATCAGCTGGCAGCTGCCTAATGCAATAACTGATGCCCCGCCCTCACAAGCACCTTCTAGAGAGTTCTCCCTGGTGAAGCCATGGGGGTCCCTGACAGGGTACCAGCAGGCTCTCAGCACCCTGACTCAGATCAGAATGAGCAGGCTACACCATCATCCAGATCTCTGGACCACATTAACCTGTAATGCTAGGAGCTAAAGAGAGCCAGGTGTGATGGCACACATCTGTACTCCCAGCATTCGGAGGAGCATTCTGGAAATGGAGACAGAAGGTTCACAAGTTCAAGGCCCGCTCAGACCAGTGAGTTACGTGCCACCCTGGGCTACAGAAAAAAAGATTCAACAGTGACAACTTAAGGACACCTTTGTCTCCTTCACACATCGGTCTGCGACAGTGACTACCGGAGCCCCACAGTGACAAAGTCCCCAGCGCTGGCACCCAAAGTGAGAGTTACAATTTCTCCTTCCCTCACGTTCACTCTGCAGGGCACACATGTACAGCCTCTGTGATATCTTGACATACCTGTGTCGCTTTCTCTCCTCGGCACCTGCTTCAAAGTCCCTTCCCGAGGCAGGCCATCCAACCCCAACCTCCCCTACCTCTGTCTGGGGGTTGTGCATCAAAAACTCTCTGAGATACCTCATCTTGTTTGTGTTTGAGAAGGGTTCCATATTGGAGAGGGGATGGGGAAGGTCCAGGAAGATGTGAGCTGAAGCCTCACTGGGACCCTTTCTGGCTCTTTGTCTGGTCATATTTTCTACACGCCGGGTCACTCGGGCTTCAATCAAACCCGCAATGAAACCTCCACATGCACTTAGAATAAGGAGTTGGAGGCGATGTCTCAGCTGGTAGAGCACTTGCCTAGCAAGCGTTCGCAAACCCCTGGGTTCAGTTTCCAGCACTACATAAACCCTGTATAGTGGTGCACGACTACAATCGCAACACTCAGGAGGTGGGAGCAGGAGTTCAAGGCCATCCTACATACCTAGCTGACTGGAGGGTGACCTGGGCTACTTGAGATAGTATCTCAGTTTAAAAGAAAAATAAAAAAGGGACTATGTTCAAGGAGCTTCTGGTCAGCCGAGCGCGGGAACACCTGGGTGGTGGCACCCAGAGAGGGCTAGGAAGCTTCATAGCCTCATGCCCCTTCTTTGCCCACCCCTAACTCTGAGCCTCTGTTTCTTTATGTGTCTCCTTTGTAGAACGCTTTAAGGGCTGAAGGGGAAGGATAACTCTGTGCTGGAGCCCTGGGTTCCACCCTCAGCACCACAGAAACAAACAGAAAAACGAGTAAAGGTCAGTAAACATTTTCCTAAGCCGATTGTCAGACGCACAGGCTCACCGGCACAGACATGCAATCTTAGGGGAGGTGGCAGTACAGGGGCAGGCGCTCAAACCTTGAGATCTTCCACCACCTCCTTGTAGTATCAGATGAGGGGAACCCCTGCTGGCGCCTGCTTGCTGAGGAAGAGACCCCATTAGTGACTCCTGCAACAGAACCTAAAGCCTTGTGACCATCCTGAGAAAGGTCTGAGAACCCCTCTCCACAGTGTGTACTCAGGCTCATGAATACATGCGAGAGGCAGGCTTGAGTCTGCCGGGTTTCTAGCCCCAGAGGCTTCTAGAAACGGCTCAGGCCTAGCTCACCAGGCAGACCCAGCTGGGGACGCCATCCTGCCCAGACTTGTCCTATTTGTTTATTTTCAATCACGCTTTTCATTTTAAACATTTCATTTATTTGGGGTATGTGTGTGTGTGTGTGGGTGCAGATGTGAAGGTCAGAGGACAGCTTTGTGGAGTGGTCCTCCCTTTTTCTGTGGGCTTAGGGGGTCACACTCAGATGGTCAGGCTTGTGCAGGGAGCTCCTTCGGCCCCTAAGCCTATATGTCACTGGCCCCATTTTCCCTTTCTATGAAGACGTCTTCATATTGGTTAGCAATCTGCTCTTAGGACCTCAGTTTAACAAGATTACCTTACAAAAAAACTCTGTTTTCAGAAAAGGCCACATTCTGAAGAACTGGCTATTAAGACTTCAACATAACGTTTTCCGAGGTGTTGGGGGTTCGAGCACTAT